TTTAGCATCAGATTAAAGATACTGCGCGGTAACAATATCCTGTGAGTGAGCCGCAATAAACTGCAATTTTGTAGAAGTTAGGATTTAGGGCACAATAAATTAATGTTTTCATTTGTGCTTTGTTCATTATTCTCTTCCAAAGATTCAACCTTTTTCCCCATCAGTGAGCAGCTATACTTATTAAAAAGAATAAATGAATACATTAATTATGTATTCATTAATATAACCCGCAGCTTAAGCAAAAATTTGCAGAACTATGGAATGCCGCTAAAATGCAGAACTCTGGGTATCAATGCCCCAAAGATGAATATATTTCCAGTTCACAGATACTGCACTGCAACAACATTCCGACCTGGCTGATCACCCAAGAGGAGCGAAGCACACAGCGGACTGCAATGTGGATGTTTTCTGCATGGATTGACATTTAGTTAATCCTTTCCAGCTTACTCTTTATATACCAATACTATCATTTAATCTACACTAAGAAAAATGCTCGTGAAGCACTAAAAAAAGGCGAGATTTATTTTCAAGTGACCTGTAAAAAGAAACCTATCATGAAGGAATTCTGTAGCCTGCCACTGCTGACTTTCTTGAGAAATGCTATTAATTTGGCTGCCTCAGACTTCAACACTTTCCAAATCACTGACTAGGATGAAGTGACTCTGGATAAGCACTTTACAAATCAGCTCTGCCGATGAACATCTAGCATTTTTATAAAATAAGCAATGGTGGTTCTCCAATCTCTCTCATAACGGGCTTAATTTAAACTGACCCTAAACTCAGGTGCATTCATTTACCTTAACTATTAACTAAACTGGACCTTATTTCTGCATCACTCACCTGTGGATCCTCAAATCATCTCTGAATTGGTGCCGACTCTGTCTTTCCTTCTGGAGGGTGGCTACTTTTCTTCACCATGATCCCTGTGTGTGTTGTAAAGTAGTCACTGCTCCAAGCTTGCCCCCATGGACTACAATCTCATGTTTAGTTTAATATTTGTAGTGAGATTGTAGTCCATCACAGGAGAGAGCTTGGAGCGGTGACTACTTTACATCACACACAGGGACCATGGGGAACAAAAGTAGCCACCCTCCAGAAGGAAGGACAGTATCCCCACCAATTCAGAGATGATTTGAGGATCTACAGCTAAATGATACACAAATAAGACACATTTATGTTCATAGTTAAGGTACTTGAATGCATTTTTAAGATTTAACTCCTGAGTTTAGTGTCATGATAAAAGTTAAAAGTATACAAATACATAGGGGTCTATTTATAAAAAATGTGTAAAGCTATTTGTCCAGCAAAACCTCAGCTACTTTCACAAGTAAATCAGCTGTTGTGAGAAATGGGGCAAAAATGAATGTTGTTCATGTAATTTCTCTTCTGGTCAGATGTTCAATAGGTTCATTCATCAAGAACAGAGTAAATGGGAAAGCAATATTGCCACTAGATGGAGCGGAGAATGGTAGGAAATAAATTCATGTTAACAAGATACAATTCAGGAGAACACTGAAGAGATGAGCATAGAAATGTAACCATGGCTTTCCCCAAGTATCAACCTTTAATTTTTTAAGTTATTCCCTCTTTAAATGTTAACAACGTATCTCCCAACATGTATTTATTTCTTATGATCCTCAGCTCCATCTAGTGACCAAACTGCAATATTTCCCCATGCACTCTGTCATTAATGAATGCATCTATTGAGGAACATTCAACCAGAAGGGAAATTTCACTAAGCACGTTTGTTTGTGCCCCATTCTCACACCAGCTAATTAACCTGATAATGTCCATCCAGTATTGCTGGAGAAATAGCTATGCACTGTTTTTAGTAAAAAGACTCCATAGTGACCAACACCAAACTCTTCTTCGCAATAATGAGCCGTCAAGTTTATATTTCACTTCTGCTTGCTGCTTTTGGTCCTGACTAGCCAATCAACTAAAACAAATCTAAACACACCAAAGTGCACTGGCCTCATGAAGTATAGAGAGAAAAGTGAGAAGATACAACAGATTCTCAGCTCCTAATTAGGAAGCTCTGCAGTCCCATGGATGATATAACAGATAATCCAGTCAAACAACACTCTGGCACAATGTCATTTTGTAGCTGTAGCCACCCCCTATGCTGTGTGCCAATACAAGACTGTACCTCTTCTTCACAGGCATGAAATTCTATCAAGGTCGTTGCTGGGATTTTTCATTCATCTATATGTAATATCTTTTCTATACATGCTTCACAAGGCCGGTGCACTTTGGTGTGTTTGTACTGGTGAATTAACTAACCTGGCAAAATTACAATCAGCTCTGCCGATGAACATCTAGCATTTTTATAAAATAAGCAATGGTGGTTCTCCAATCTCTCTCATAACGGGCTTAATTTAAACTGACCCTAAACTCAGGTGCATTCATTTACCTTAACTATTAACTAAACTGGACCTTATTTCTGCATCACTCACCTGTGGATCCTCAAATCATCTCTGAATTGGTGCCGACTCTGTCTTTCCTTCTGGAGGGTGGCTACTTTTCTTCACCATGATCCCTGTGTGTGTTGTAAAGTAGTCACTGCTCCAAGCTTGCCCCCATGGACTACAATCTCATGTTTAGTTTAATATTTGTAGTGAGATTGTAGTCCATCACAGGAGAGAGCTTGGAGCGGTGACTACTTTACATCACACACAGGGACCATGGGGAACAAAAGTAGCCACCCTCCAGAAGGAAGGACAGTATCCCCACCAATTCAGAGATGATTTGAGGATCTACAGCTAAATGATACACAAATAAGACACATTTATGTTCATAGTTAAGGTACTTGAATGCATTTTTAAGATTTAACTCCTGAGTTTAGTGTCATGATAAAAGTTAAAAGTATACAAATACATAGGGGTCTATTTATAAAAAATGTGTAAAGCTATTTGTCCAGCAAAACCTCAGCTACTTTCACAAGTAAATCAGCTGTTGTGAGAAATGGGGCAAAAATGAATGTTGTTCATGTAATTTCTCTTCTGGTCAGATGTTCAATAGGTTCATTCATCAAGAACAGAGTAAATGGGAAAGCAATATTGCCACTAGATGGAGCGGAGAATGGTAGGAAATAAATTCATGTTAACAAGATACAATTCAGGAGAACACTGAAGAGATGAGCATAGAAATGTAACCATGGCTTTCCCCAAGTATCAACCTTTAATTTTTTAAGTTATTCCCTCTTTAAATGTTAACAACGTATCTCCCAACATGTATTTATTTCTTATGATCCTCAGCTCCATCTAGTGACCAAACTGCAATATTTCCCCATGCACTCTGTCATTAATGAATGCATCTATTGAGGAACATTCAACCAGAAGGGAAATTTCACTAAGCACGTTTGTTTGTGCCCCATTCTCACACCAGCTAATTAACCTGATAATGTCCATCCAGTATTGCTGGAGAAATAGCTATGCACTGTTTTTAGTAAAAAGACTCCATAGTGACCAACACCAAACTCTTCTTCGCAATAATGAGCCGTCAAGTTTATATTTCACTTCTGCTTGCTGCTTTTGGTCCTGACTAGCCAATCAACTAAAACAAATCTAAACACACCAAAGTGCACTGGCCTCATGAAGTATAGAGAGAAAAGTGAGAAGATACAACAGATTCTCAGCTCCTAATTAGGAAGCTCTGCAGTCCCATGGATGATATAACAGATAATCCAGTCAAACAACACTCTGGCACAATGTCATTTTGTAGCTGTAGCCACCCCCTATGCTGTGTGCCAATACAAGACTGTACCTCTTCTTCACAGGCATGAAATTCTATCAAGGTCGTTGCTGGGATTTTTCATTCATCTATATGTAATATCTTTTCTATACATGCTTCACAAGGCCGGTGCACTTTGGTGTGTTTGTACTGGTGAATTAACTAACCTGGCAAAATTACTACTTCACCAATAGAAGCTGCCACCTACACCCATCTTACTGCTACCCTCCAACCACAGGATTTGGAGTTAGACCCTCCTGCCTGAGTACAGTGTGTCAATATCTGATTTGGGTTACTAGACTCTGCACTGTTATAGATTCTGCCACTGCCAGTGTACTTTATAAAAATTTCCTTATAAAAAAGGAACTACTCTCACCTGGTCTTCTTGGCCTTATTGCCGAAACACTGTTTTGTGGTCATTTTTATGATTCCCCTTCTAACTGATGGGGCTTTTGCTCTATGTTTTGAAGAGGGGAGGGGGGTTCTCTTTTTCTTTTCTTCCTCTTTCTTCTTTTCTATAACGTTCTTCATATCACCTCTAACACTGTTTATTTCCTATTGCCTAAGCATTGCTTTCAGCATGCACTGGGTATAACAAATAGATACTGCTATGCTTAAATTCGGGTCTCACTTCAATGTGCTACTGCCATAACTATTTCATTCTTACTGTTCGGACTATTCCATTTATTTTTGATACCTCATTGTTCTACTATATCATGTCTACAGGTATGCTACCTCTTTCTCCTGTATCTTATATTTTGAGATTGAGATTTTTCATATGTATCTGTAACTTACAATTGGCTTTATAATTCCTGTTGTAATTTTTCTTGATCCTTCGTTAATAAAAAAAGAGATTAAACATAAAAAGCGACTACAGTAAAAAAAAAGTCCAGCCAAGCATCGCTTGTCACTACAGTAAAAAGAATCCAGCCAAATACAGCTTGTGGTGCTGAAAATTCCATTAATTAGACTTGCACAGCTTGGTCCGCCCACAAACGTGTTTCGCCCTATCCAGGGCTTAGTCGTAGAGCAGGCGGGACTGAGCCAAGCTGTGGAAGTTTGAATAAAGGAATTTTGTCAGCATGACCAGCGGTGTGCCTCTGGATTCTTTTTACTGTGGAGGTGTGTACATTAGAGTGTGGACGAGCTCAGCCAGCAGGCACCCATTTTTGGCTCCCTGAGGGAGTACCCATTACACCCTGCGCAAAATTCCAATCTTTACGTCACTTCCTGCAAAAAGAAAAGAGTAAAAATAGAGAGACACATACCCTATGTTTTTCCTTGATCTTCTGTCTGTACGCTTCTTTGTCAAACTTATCTTCTTCTGTCAGCCGTTGCCTTGCCTTTTCCAGGTTGATGCCATTATCTAAATCTTCCTCATTCTCCACATCTTTGACTACAGTTTTCTGTACCTGAGGCCACTGCTGGACTGCCTGCGTCACACAAAAAACAGTAAAGAATTGGATTTCAGTTTGCACATACACAGGACTTTTACATTTCTGCATACAATGTAGAACTCGCATTATCCACAGAACAGAAACAGGTGCCAGGGAGTGCATATTATATGCTGCTGACTGGTCACCTTTGAGCTCTGGATAGTCCTCCAGATTAAGGTTTGAACAAAGAACTTCAAATACAAAACACAAATTACAGAGGTGACTTTGAATTACTCAGTTTTCATATAGGCTGAACAAATAGAAAGTGAATTCTTTTTGTAAGTAAATGTAAAACAAGTTTAACTAATAATTGAAAGATGATTTTAAATCAGCGTGCAGACACGATATGCCAAGCCTCCGTTAAAATGTGGTTTAACATCCTCTGGGCTGGTGACTTCATAGACCAGAAGGGTCCACCATTCAGGGATTTGTATGGGATTACATTTTAACTCCCTGGACAAGTACTTATGTTTATGGTCATGAGGATAAGAGTGCCCATCTTTACAGATGGATTCAAATGAAGTTACATGATTTGAAGTATTTCCACCTTCACAGCCAAATATGTATAACACCTATTTTATATGTGTTACATGTTTCTCATTCACATAGCATAACTTACTTTTTTTAATTTTAATTGCTGCTTGCACAGTACATAATCTGAAAGAAAGAGTTTTTCTGTGGAACGCAAAAAGGGGGCTAGGCAGGTTTATGTTACCATAGTTAACCATGTCAGTACTGTGCTGGCAGATCTCATTATTAGTTTTAAACTAGTATTAAACAATTGCTCGCTACCCCCTGGAAGTAATCATTGTGACAAAACATGCCGGGAGGGCGGGGCATACGCACGTATTCTGAAACCAGAACACTGATGCTTGTACGATCGGAGGAGTTTCTTGTGACTATTGGATTTTATCTGAAAGTGTTTTTAACCTTCTAATAAAGTGGTGAAGTAAAACATTACAATGAGAGGCTTTTATGTTTCTGTCTGAGCTTGGTTCATAAGCTTCGATCTAAGAAGTGAGGAGGAAATAGAGGTGAATAAGAAGTGATCCCTCAAACTGGAACGTAATTGGAAAAGGGATAACACCAGAGATATAAGTGCTTATGGCTTATCCTACTTTAGAGTAGCCCTGTATGTCCGGTGAGTGCAGTTTTATATGTTTTGGAGCACAGTGTTGTGAAGATATATATATTAACTGAAAAAGTGGAAGTTTGGGCACTATTGGATGTGGATAGTGTTTCACGGATCCTCAATTCACAGTGATGTATGTTTCTTTCCTTAAGTTTTATGGGTGATAGAGAAATGCAATAATTGTACATTATAGAAAGAGAAACTCATCAAAAATTGGAAATTATAGAATGAAGAAGATCACAGTATTTGGACTTTTTGTTTGCTTTATTTTATTTATCATAATATATATTTGCTGAAAATATTTTTGAATTTGAATGCACAATTTTTTGTTATACTGTGGTAAAGAGATGCACATGATTGGATTATTTGCACAATAATTTGCTAAGATTATGATGTTATGATGCACATGATGGTTTTATGGTAATACATATAAAGTATTAGGGATTAGGTATAGCGCAGTGCATAGATGTTTATTGTTTTTGGTGGTTTCTACCTCTAGGCATTGCAGCATACCATTTATATTGTAATAACATACCTGAGCGCGCTTAAAAAGGTTATTTATAGATTTGAACAATGCCTGTCCTAACAAAGGATTAACACGCTAGAAGCGTTTTATGTTAATGAGAGGAAATTTAGTATGTCCCTAGACTTTCTATGGGGACAGACCGAGTTTCCTGTCACTTGGAAGCTTGAAAGGGCCTGCTACACAGATACATCAAAAAGGTAAAAAATACTGTGTATATATATTTTTTTTAGGTATGCTGCGTGAATGGGAATACATAAACTTATTTTTTACTGCAAAAGTGTAAATATACTTTAAAATAAGACTAGGCATGAGAACGGTTTAGCTTCATAATTGTAAGATTACAATTATGAAAGATTGAGAATTGCTTTGAAAATGTTAAAGCCGATATGAGATTTTCAGTGATTGATTTTAAATCTACTTTAATGCAGAAGTCCAATTAAAAGGCTCCCTTCAAGCATAAGCATTATGGGAAGACAGGGAAGAGCACTGAAACCCAATAAATGGAAGTGCCCGAAAGGGTGCCTTTGTGGCAGGATCACCAGGTATTCTGGGAATAAATGCTAAAGATTTAAAAATATTGGAATTTACTTTGGAAGGTACAAGTTAAAATGAGATTTTAGAGACTGGCTTTAGATCTCCTTTAAAGCAGAACTCTGGGCAAATTTTTTATTAACAATTGCAGTTGGGCTACCCCCACATTGCAAGGGTTAACTGCTTGTTTCTGTCTAGGGACTAAAATTTAAAAAAAAGTTATACTCACCTGATTCCCCCGAGTCGGCTGGCTCTTAGACTGGTCCTTTCAGCCTTATTCCCCTTGCAGAGGTCTAAAGATTCTCCAGTCTTCACATCCAATACACTGTCTATGGGACATGAGAACGCCGAGGGACATACCATCACTACAGCGTACGAGGCGAAAGGCTGGAGGGAGCACTGTGACAGCTGGACGTCTCAGAAGATTGGGTGAGTATAACTTTTTTAGCCCCTGGATGAAAATTAGCAGTTTACCCTTGCAATGCGGGGGTAGCCCCACTGCAAATGTTAAAAAATGATTTTTCCCAGAGTTGTTCTATAATGCAGAAGCCCAATTGTGACTGGTTCCCTTTAAGCCACAATGTTTAGTAATTGGGGATTTCGCAACACCAGCTTTAGCTGACCACTGCAACGCTGGCATTAAATATATCCAAAAAGAATGTTGCACCGATCTCCGTTTTTGCTTAGGTAAACACTATTATTACTTGCCCCCCTCTGTATAATATAATAATTGTGAAAGTTGGCATCTGTGCTTCACTTTTTTTTTTTTTTTTTTGAAGTCC